TAGAGTCTTGTTCTGTCACCCAGGATGGAGTGCAGTGGCCTGATCTTGGCTCACTGCAGCCTCCGCCTCCCCGTTCAAGTGATCTTGTGCCTTAGCCTCCTGAGTAGCTGGGATTATAGGCGTGCACCACCGCACCCAGTTAATTTTTGTATTTTAGTAGAGATAGGATTTTGCCATGTTGGCCAGGCTGGTCTCAAACTCCTGGCCTCAAGTGATCTGCCCGCCTTGGCCTCCCAAAGTGCTGGGGTTGCAGGCGTGAGCCACCGTGCCTGGTTGTTTATAGCATTTTGACATGACGCAGCATTCAAATATATTGATGCAAACATATCAGTCCATGGCCGCCTGGAAAAAATAAAATTGGTCCTTCATTGTGGACAGTTTGTAAAGCCCTGTATTAAAGTACCCAGCACATGCCTGGAACGCAGTAGGCAGTCAACATATTAATTCCCCTCATTTCCCTACCATTCGAGTGAACCCTACATTACAAAAACAAGCTGCCCACCACCCCCACCACCAAACATAGCTTCTGTGGGGGAAAAGCTAATTTGACTGCTTTATATTCTAACTTCATGAACCAGGAATTCATTTCCTAATTAAAAGCTTCTGGGTTTCTATAGACTGATCAAAGGGGCATACAGTAAACTGGAAAACACAGAGGAAAACAAGATTGTTGCCTGGGCCCACATTATAATAACTTGGTTAAGAAAACTGTCCATGTGTTTGAAGGCCCTGGTCTCCGTCCAACTCTTTTTAAGCTGATAGGGTTTAAGTGTCCGTTCTCAGGGTCTCTGGCTTCCTGCTCATCTCCACAGTGAGCACGTACCACTAACAGTGTGCTGGATGCTGTGCTAGGCCTTTCACACGCACGACTGGTCCCACTGAATCCTCATACAACCAAACAGAACACTACTATTACCCCCATTTCACTGGGAAGTTGAAGTGGAAAATAATTTGTTGAGTCATACAACTAGCAGCAGTAGAATGGGGACTAAACCCCACTCTGGCTCCCCAGCCTGGTTTGGGAACTTCGCACTATTTGCATTTAGAGAGAACCCCAGCAAGCTGACACTGTTTGCTTCCTTATACATCAACTTGGTCATCAGTCCCTTTTGCTCCCTCCAACTCCCAAACTTTCTCTATTTAAAATGTGGGGAAAAAGCGAAAGTCCTTAAGTCTCAGGTTGTTGTTTCATTTTGTTCTCCTCATTATAAAAGAAAACCACCGGTCTTAGTGTGTGTCTGACTTACCACCCAATTTATAAGTACTCCTTGCTGTGGTCAAGGTGATCATTAAACTAATTAGTAGGTGAGGAGTTTAATTTTTTGTTCCCTGCAGCCATATATCAAGAAAGAAGAGAATGGTGCCTTCTGCTTAGGCAGTAGGGATGCTGTGCGGTACGTTTCCTTCCTGCCAGTTAAGGGACAAGTCAAGTGGACCAGGTCACACTCCCCCACAGGACCACTGCCCTGGACGCTGGCTGGCTCCTGGCCTTACCTCAAGCAGGAAGGCGGCACTGGGAAGGGTTGAGCCGTCGCTTCCTGCTTCAGAACACTTCGGAACCCAGCTTCAGATTTTAGGAACGATTTATACACATTTTGGAAAGCAAATAATGATGTAATTTAAATGATACACTTTTCCCTTGAAAATGTATACATTTTTTGAAAAGATTTTAGGAATGAGAGTTTCCCCAAACAACTCCCTTCATAGGAGTTCCTGAGGCACTGAACCATTTTATCAGCAAACCCTGCCCTCGGTATACCTAAACCGGCCACAGTTTTTTGAGCTTCATTTCCCCAACCAGCCAGAAATGGAAGCGTTTTTGATCTGTGGCTGCGTGGTCTTACATCAAAAGAAGAAAACAGTCAAATTCTCCCCACTTCCCCTTATCTTTTTTGTAATTTATATCCAACCAAGGTTCCCCCTCCCCACCCAAATGCAACTGCTGACAATTTATTAAGCCCAGGAAATCCTGGGTTTCATTTTGGTCCTCTTGCAGAGAGGAAAATGGCTGGTTCCCCTCAAAGCTTCCCCAGGATTGTTCCTCCTAGTCGCTATCTCTGGTTCACTACTGGCCCCAAACCCAAGCCACCAAGCCTATCTGTCTTAAGGAAAAGGTGGAGGAGCAGTGATACCACACTGGGGTCAGGGGTGGGCCCTGTGGAGGTGCTGGTGGAAGACCATGCCTGAGAAGGAGTGGCGAGGGCCCAGAAGGTTTGTGTGGAGCTGCAGGTGCACCTGAGGCAGCATAGTCCTCGCTGGTGGGTCTCCTCTGCTGACAACTCTTTCTGCCCTTTCCCCTCCAGAGTTGGGGCTCTCTCCAGGGTAATGGCCTCCTCTTCTTTCCTTCTCATTCTACATGGTTCACTCAGCCTAGGCAAGCTCAGCCATACACAATTCCCCATAGGGCACTATTTGGGACAGGACAACTCTTTGTTGTCCAGGACAGTGCTATGAACTGAATAAAGCCTGCAGTAGTGCTCCTCAGTCATTGTGACAACCAAACCTCCCTGACACATTTCCAAATGCCCCCTGGGTGGGGGTGGGCGGTGCAGTGCTGCTCAGTAGAGGAGCAAAGGACTCCTGAGTTTACATTTCCACACCAGATAGCATCCCTGCACTCCAGACCCCTGCACCCAAGGAAATTTCTCAAAGGCACCTTGTGTCCTGTCCTAGAGACATCTTTATTTTTATTTTTTAATTTTTTTATTTGTTATTTTATTATTATTATTTTTTAGACAGAGTTTTGCTGTCATCCAGGCTGGAGTACAGTGGTGCGATCTCAGTTCATTGCATCTCTGACTCCCAGACTCAAGCAATTCTCAGCTTCGCAAGTAGCTGGGATTACAGGCATGCAGCACCACACCCAGCTAATTTTTGAATTTATAGTAGAGACAGAGTTTCACCAAGTTGGCCAGGTTGGTCTCAAACTCCTGACCTCAAGTGATCTGCCTACATTGGCCTCTCAAAGTGCTGGGATTACAGGCATGAGCCACCACACCTGGCCTCCAGAGACATCTTAAACTCAAATTTTCAAACCTGATCTCATCATTTTAATCTACTCTGACTAGTAAATGACCCTACCACTTCCCATTCTCAAACTGAGCCTACGTGTTTTCCTAAATCCTCCTCTGAACTCTTTTACCCAGTTAGTGTACCAGCACACAACCACAGGTGAAATTCTCTAGCCCATCATATTTTCTAGATCCTTTAGGTTACAGCCACCCCAACCTAGCCCCTAATCCAGTCAGAGAGTGGCTTCTAATGCACAGCTGATGAGATCAAGGTTAGTTCCCTGCTGCTGTAATCTTCAAAGCTTTGTCTACAAAACCATAATAGAGGTAGTCTGCCTGAGCAGTGGGAGACCATGAGTTTGAGTTAAGGTGGAGGAGAACTTAAGTGTGGTTCTGCACCTTAGGTGCATGACTTTTAAGCAGGCTCTGAGCAGATAGAGGGCCAAGGGCCCCTCCCTGTGGGGTCTTTTCTCTCTGAGGCCTCCATCAAAGCCCTCGGGCTCTTTCATAATTGTTGACTTTGTCTCTCTGCCTCCCTCAGTAAACTTGGGAGGAGGGGCTGTGTCCTCCTCTCTGGGCCCTCAGCCCAGTGCCTGGCACATGGCAGGCATCCTTTCATGAGTGAATGTTTGTGGAATGAAGTACTGAGTTGGAAATCACTCTGCAAACTGTGTAGAGCTGGACCACTTTCCCTTACTCATACCACCATCTGGCATTTGCAACAATAAACACTAACAGCCTCACTTTAATTCAGGACCTTGGGTGGAGGCTCGAAAGAGTGGAATGAACACTGGACTGGGGAGTCTGAACATCTGAGTCTGTTAACTAACACAACTTATCACCTCGGCTATGGCACTTTCTCCAACTGAGGAGATGGAGTGTCAGCTGGGACAAGGGTTCTACAGAGGGGCTTAGAGCGGCTTAAAGAGAGTCCTTGAACAATCTGAAATTGTTGCCAAACTCAGTCTGTTTGCATTCTGTTGAGGGGACATCACAGATTCTTAAATAGTCAAGAACTGCTAATCTGGATAAGCTTCTGAATTACTGCAGTTTACATACTGACGCATGGACTTTGAGGGAAAGGAGGTACAAGGGAGCAGCAGAGATGGCTGGCACTCGTCCCACACAGCCACTGCCATCACAGGCCCATCTGAGAGGGACTTTGTCAAGGCAGCCTTGGCATGACCAGGGTGCTGACTCAGCCACTCCCTAAACTTTATTTAGTGCCACAAGCCAGGGAGCAAAAGGCAGGGTCTCAGGCAGAGAACACACATACAGAATGCTCCTAAAGGCACAGAGGCACGGGATTAGAAAGGAAAACTGCTGGAAAGTGAACCAGATAGGGACTTAGGGAGAGAAGAAGCCTTACAGACAAGGGGACTATCAAGATCCAGAAGTCTGACACAGGCAAGGGGAACACCAGGGGTTCTGGAGATGGAGGCCTAGACTGGAAGGAAAGGAGAAGGAGCTGGCACTTCCTGAGCACGTACTAAGTGCTGAGTACTCTTGTGATCATAATAATCCTGCAAGGGAGGTTTATCAGTCCCAAGCAAGGGGAGTTAAATAGAACTTCCGCTGTTTTTAAGTGTCCTCTGACCCCCCTTTCTGCTCTGCACTGTCTGTCCAGATAATTCAGACAGCCTTAGCATTTTCTTTGAAAAGGTCAATGACAAGAGGCTGGACTGTAAATCTGCAGCTGGCAAAGGAGAGAGAAAGATTCATTCAAACAGTTTGCAACCATCCTGGGCACCGGCCACGTGCCAGCCACGGGGCTAGGTTCAGGGAGGCACAGGACTAGATCCCTGCCCTTTGCAACAGCCACTACCCGCCGCCCCCACACCCGGAGGGGAACCAGCTGGGATCTGGGCAGCCAGGGCGCTTAAGGTGCGGGGCCGGCGCAGGGCTGGAAGTGGGAAGCCAGGACTGCGGCTGGGCTCAGAGGAGAGTGAGGTAGGGTCGGTAGGCTTCCTACCCTCCTTCCCGGCTTACCAGGCGCAAGTCCCCCGGTCCGTGCACCACCAGGGAAAGGTTCTTGGGCTTGGCCGCCGCCGCCATGGAACTCTTTTGGCTCTCGGGTGCGGCCTGGAAGGCGCGGGACGTTTGGTCGCTCTGGTGGCGCTGCCCAGCCGAGGGTCCAGGGCACAGGGTGGAAGGCGGGGCCTGGAAGAAGCGGCGCACGCAGGGGCGGGGCTAGGCTTCCTCCTTTGTGACAGCCCGGGCGGTGCTAGCGTGGAGGGGCGGGGCTTCCTGGCCTTCTCCGGACCGGAGGCGGGGCGGGGCTTCGCGAGGGGGCTGGGGGCGCGAAGCCTGGGCGCTGGCTCCATCTGAAGCACGCTGTTTGTTTGTTTGTTTGTGGCCGAGGCTGGAGTGCAGTGGTGCGATCGCTGCAAGCTCCGCCTCCCGAGTTCACGCCATTCCCCTGCCTCAGCCTCCCTAGTAGCTGGGACTACAGGCGCCCACCACCACGTATCTCTGTTTAGTAGAGACGGGATTTCACCGTGTTAGCCAGGATGGTCTCGATCTCCTGACCTCATGATCCGCCCGCCTCGGCCTCCCAGAGTGCTGGGATTACAGGCGTGAGCCGCCGCGCCAGCCCTGAAGCTCGCTGTTTTTGCCGCCTCACATCCAAGCGCGCACAGCTGCCCTGAAAACCGCCTGCGGAGGCAGTAGGCACAAGACCAGGGCTCTCAAATGTTATCTGCAGAAGAATGGGGGTGGGAAATGTGAGGAGCTGTTGATAATGCAGATTCTCAAGACCAGCACCGAGATTCTGATCCAGTAGGTCTAGGTCAGAGGTGCAGCCCGAGGATCCATATTCCTAGCAACAAGAACGCTGAGGCTGTGGGTGGAGCTCAGTGTGCACTCTGGGAGACAGGCGCTACCATGACGCAGCATCCGTTTCGGCCCTGTTTCTCCGGCCCCCAACAAAGGGCCTGGCACGACTAGTAGTGAATGAATTCGTGCATTATTCCATGGGCCTGGTGCATAAGTATAAAAAAGACATGAGGCCAGGCGCACTGGCTCACGCCTGTAATCCCAGCACTTTGGGAGGCTGAGAGGGGTAGATCACCTGAGGTCAGGAGTTCAAGACCAGCCTAATATGATGAAACCCCATCTCTGCTAAAAATACAAAAATTAGCCGGGCGTGATGGCATGTGCCTTAATCTCAGCTACTTGGGAGGCTGAGACAAGAGAATAGCTTGAACCTGGGAAGCAGAGGTTGCAGTGAGCTGAGATTGCATCATTGAACACCAGCCTGGGCAACAAGAGTGAAAATCCGTCTTTAAAAAAAAAAAAAAAAGCCATGAAATGGAATTTGTGGACCTCTTTCTCTCAACTGGTTCTGCTGCTTCTATTCAGTTGGGGAATTTCCCTTTCCTAGCCAAGGAAAGCCATGACAGAATGTACCTGGAAAATCGGGACACTCTCACCCAAATACTGCACTTTTCCAATGGTCTTAGCAAATGACACACCAGGAGATTATATCCTGCGCCTGGCTCAGTGGGTCCCACGCCCACAGAGCCTTGCTCACTGCTAGCACAGCAGTCTGAGGCAGCAGCCTGGCAGACGAGGGGTGTCTGCCATTGCTGAGGCTTCAGTAGGTAAACAAAGTGGTCGGGGAAGCTCAAACTGGGCAGAGCCTACCACAGCTCTGCAAGGTCTGCTGCCCAAACTCTTCCTTCAAGCCTCTCAGCCCTCTGAGAAACAGTGAGGTTTTACTCTCTGAGGAGAGAGCCGCTTCTAGCGAGGCCTAAGTCTATAAGGCCCCTCCCTCCTTTGAGGACAGTGCTCAGGATTTCATTCCCTTACAGTCCCCCCTCCCCCATATGTAACTGCTGAATTGATTCACCTTGCCTGCTACCTAGACAAAACTAATTTATCAAGACAGGGGAACTGCAATAGAGGAAGAGTTCATGCAGAACCAGCTATGCAGGAGACTGGAGTTTTATTATTGCTCAAATCAGGCTGCCCAAGCATTCGAACATACAGGGACTCAGAGTGTTTAAGGATAGTTTGATGGGTGGGGAAAGGCCAGTGACTCAGGAGTGCTGATTGTTTGGGTCACAGATGAAATCACAGGGGATCTAAGCTGTCTTCTTGGACTGAGTCAGTTCCTGGATGGGGATCACAAGATCAGATGAGCGAGTTTATCAATCTGGTTGGTGCTACTTCTTGAGGGACCAGTGCCAGTATAGGCTGTATTTGTTCCTTGCTGAGGGCCCTGGTTCCTCTGGGATTAGGCCTAGATATTTGACTTGTTGTAAGCAGAGCTGGGCTTCTGGTTTAGACGCCTTGCATGCTTGATTAGCTAGAAAGTTCAAGAGATCTAGAGTAGCCTGCTGGCATGAGGCTTCCAAACTGGGAGACAAAAGTAAATCATCCAGATTCTGTTCCAAGATGGCCAAATAGGAACAGCTCTGGTCTGCAGCTCCCAGTGTGATTGATGCAGAAGATGGTGATTTCTGCATTTCCAACTGAGGTGCCTGGTTCCTCTCATTGGGACTGGTTGGAGAGTGGCTGCAGCCCATAGAGGGTGAGCCGAAGCAGGGCAGGGCATTGTCTCACCTGGGAAGTGCAAGCAGTTGGGGAATTTCCCTTTCCTAGCCAAGGAAAGCCATGACAGAATGTACCTGGAAAATCGGGACACTCTCACCCAAATACTGCACTTTTCCAATGGTCTTAGCAAATGACACACCAGGAGATTATATCCTGCGCCTGGCTCAGTGGGTCCCACGCCCACAGAGCCTTGCTCACTGCTAGCACAGCAGTCTGAGGCAGCAGCCTGGCAGACGAGGGGTGTCTGCCATTGCTGAGGCTTCAGTAGGTAAACAAAGTGGTCGGGGAAGCTCAAACTGGGCAGAGCCTACCACAGCTCTGCAAGGTCTGCTGCCTTTGTAGACCCCACCTCTGGGGGCAGGGCATAGCTGAACAAAAGACAGCAGAAACTTCTGCAGACTTAAACATCCCTGTCTGACAGCTCTGAAGAGAGAAGTGGCTCTCCCAGCACGGTGTTTGAGCTCTGAGACTGGACAGACTGCCTCCTCAAGTGAGTCCCTGGCCCCTGTGTAGCCTAACTGGGAGACACTTCCTGGTAGGGGTTGACTGACACCTCATACAGGCAGGTGCCCCTCTGGGACAAAGCTTCCAGAGGAAGGATCAGGCAGCAATATTTGCTCTTCTGCAATATTTGCTGTTCTGCAGACTCCACTGGTGGTACCCAGGGAAACAGGGTCTGGAGTTGACCTCCAGCAAACTCCAACAGACCTGCAGCTGAGTGACCTGACTCTTAGAAGGAAAACTAACAGATAGAAAGGAAGAGCATCAACATCAACAAAAAGGACATCCACACCAAAACCCCATCTGTAGGTCACCAGCATCAAAGACCAAAGGTAGATAAAACCACAAAGATGGGGAGAAACCAGAGCAGAAAAGTGGAAAATTCTAAAATCCAGAGTGCCTCTTCTCCTCCAAAGGATCAGAGCGTCTCATCAGCAATGGAACAAAGCTGGGCAGAGAATGACTTTGACGAGCTGACAGAAGTAGGCTTCCAAAGGTTGGTAATAACATACTTCTCTGAGCTAAAGGAGGATGTTCGAACCCATTGCAAAGAAGCTAAAAACCTTGAGAAAAGATTAGACGAATGGCTAACTAGAATAAGTAGTGTAGAGAAGACCTTAAATGACCTGATGGAACTGAAGACCATGGCACAAGAACTAAGTGATGCATGCACAAACTTCAATAGCCGATTCAATCAAATGGAAGAAAGGATATCAGTGACTGAAGATCAAATTAATGAAATAGAGCAAGAGGAGAAGTTTAGAGAAAAAAGAATAAAAAGAAATGAACAAAGCCTCCAAGAAATATGGGACTATGTGAAAAGACCAAATCTACATTTGATTGGTGTACCTGAAAGTGGCAGGGAGAATGGAAACAAGTTGGAAAACACTCTTAAGGATATTATCCAGGAGAGCTTCCACAACCTAGCAAGGCAGGCCAACATTCAAATTCAGGAAATACAGAGAACACCACAACGATACTCCTCAAGAAGAGCAACCCAAAGACACACAATTGTCAGATTCACCAAGGTTGAAATGAAGGAAAAAGTGTTAAGGGCAGCCAGAGAGAAAAGTTGGGTTACCCACAAAGTGAAGCCCATCAGACTAACACCGGATATCTTGGCAGAAACTCTACAAGCCAGAAGAGAGTGGGGGCCAATATTCAACATTCTTCAGGAAAAGAATTTTCAACCCAGAATTTCATATGCAGCCAAACTAAGCTTCATAAGTGAAGGAGAAATAAAATCTTTTACAGACAAGCAAATGCTGAGAGATTTTGTCACCACCAGGCCTGCCTTACAAGAGCTCCTGAAGGATACACTAAACATGGAAAGCAACAACTAGTACCAGCACTGCAAAAACATGCCAAATTTTAAAGACCATCGATGCTAAGAAGAAACTGCATCAAATAATGGGCAAAATAACCAGCTAACATCATAATGACAGGATCAAATTCACACATAACAATATTAACCATAAAAGTAAATGGGCTAAATGCCCCAATTAAAAGACACAGATTGGCAAATTGGATAGAGTCAAGACTAATTGGTGTGCTGTATTCAGGAGACCCATCTCATGTGCAGAGACGGATATTGGCTCAAAATAAAGGGATGGAGGAAGATCTACCAAACAAATGGAAGGCAAAAAAAAAGCAGGGCTTGCAATCCTAGTCTCTGATAAAACAGACTTTAAACCAACAAAGATCAAAAGAGACAAAGAAGGCCATTACATAATGGTAAAGGGATCAATTCAA